AGGTTAATAAGAAATTTATTACTAAGCTAATAAAAATTATATATATAAATTAATAATATAGCTTTTTAAAGTATATTTTAAGGTCTTTATAGCTATTTACAATTTTAAAGGTATTTCTATATTAAGATATAGCTTATAATATAACTATAGCTTTATTAATATAGTTATTAATAGCTATTATTTAAAGAAGTAAATATTAAGTAAAGATTTCTTTTATTAAAGTTATTATTTTAAAGATCTAGAATATTTATAGTATTAAGCTAACCTTTCTTAATTAATAAATTAAAGTATTTTATATACCTTTAAGACTAGCTAAAAAGTTATAATCTAGGTTTTCCTCTTTTTAGCCTTTAGCTATAGTAATTAGTTAGTTATTTAGTATAATATCTAAGTTATAAGCTAGATATATTATTTACAGTTAAGACTTATAGCTAAGAGCTTAACTTTAGACAGAACTTAGAATCAGGTCTGCACATACCTTAAGGTAGGGTAGGCACTGCCCACGTACGCAAGATAACTCCAAGGATGCCAAAAATTACTCAATCTAAGTCTCTGCAAGGATACACTAAACTTACCTAAATAATTTTGTTACTCAGAATAAGCGTCCTTTCTTTTCTTACCTCCTTCAATAGCACCCACTGAAGCGGCCTACAGCTGCAGTTGCACTTACCCCAAGTATGCCTTCTTGAAAGCCTCGTCGGGCGATGCCAATCATCATCAGCCTCTTCCATTACAAATCCCATCTCAAGTTTTGAGTTTCAATACAGACAGAATCACTAAGCAAGCCTTACAACATTTAATCCCGATATCAATTTGGATCTTTATCCTAAACAATGAAGAGACTTAGGCTAAGTAAGACTTAGGCCAGTTTAGAATACCTTAGTCTCAACAATGCGGCTTTTGAATGTCTTCGACAAACGACTCGAGAGCTTCTTCGACAAGGAGATCCCACCCTATGGTATTCTGTCACATAGGTGGGGGAAAGACGAAATCACCTTTCAAGACTTAACACAACGGTCACTCCAGAAATTGCAGGGCCGCCAGTCATTCTACAAGATTTGGGCTCTGCTCGACCGGGCCGGCAAAGATGGTTTATCCTATGTCTGGATCGACACATGCTGCATCGACAAATCGAGCAGCGCAGAGCTCTCAGAGGCCATCAACTCCATGTTCAGATGGTATCAGCAGTCAGAAAGGTGCTATGTCTACCTCAATGATTTCAACACTTCTTCCAACTGCAAGATTATTCATTACGAGCCGGCTGAGAACTATGTTGTTCTCGACAAATCAGAGACCTCTTTCTTCGACAGTCTTTGGTTTACCAGAGGATGGACCTTGCAGGAGCTCATAGCACCACGGAATGTTGAGTTTTACGACAAGGAATGGGTTAGCTTTGGCTCGAGAGACGGCGCACTTCTCGATCGTATTTGCAAAAGAACTGGTATTTGGCCGCAGTTGTTTCGAGAACCCCGATGTGCATGCCCAAATTCTGCTTTTGCAGTTCGCGACGGTATTTGTGCTGGATGCAAAGGGCTTGACACACTCCCTCAGACCTTGGACTCTTTCGTCATCTCCATCAAATTGAGCTGGGCATCGTCCCGCATCACTACCCGCAAAGAAGATGCAGCCTATTGTCTCCTCGGCCTCTTCAACCTAAACATGCCACTGCTATATGGCGAAGGTGACAAGGCATTCTTGCGTCTTCAAGAGGCCATTGTCCGACAGTCAAAAGACCAGTCAGTGCTGCTGTGGCGCGCTCGGCCTGATGTTGTACCTCAAGGGTTTGTACCGGGCTGTTTGGCTCCTTCATCCAGCACCTTCAAGGAACCCGTTCACATTCTTGGCCGCCGGGTCTTCAACAGCGTCGACAAGAAGTATGAGGCTAATTTCCTCGAAAATCTGGCTACAATGAAGATCACTGATACAGCTATGCGTACTAGCCTATGGATTTGCCCCTGCAAGGTAGTGCCTGACGGGAAGCAGACTGCGGCTCGAAACCTCTGGTTGGGTATCATGCATCTCGCATACGACCATGATTACCTTAAGCGACCTGCCTTGCTGCTGGAGTATATGGGGACTGTCAACATGTACCGAAGAGTATACCATCAGCATATCGTTCCCCTTGATCCCAGGATAACTCGAGGTCCATTCGATGTAGAGTCATCAATTGGCGAAGTCGATCGACGTCTCTCTCTCACCCCAGCACTCGCCGAGGCCACCAAGAAGACCATCAGCATTCTGCTTCAGCAAAGCCCCATCAACGCAACGGCCGGCCCTTCTCCTGAAGAGAGACCGGAAACTGGACCCGTGACTGGACCCGTATATTTCGTTTTGGATACGCAGAAGCTAGGCTTTACAATGGACAGCGGAGGCAGCCACCCTCCTTTCAGCCGTTACCAAGGTCGCGCCACCCAAATACCGTCACGTTGGGCTTTTAAGAGGTGCCAGCACAAAGAAGACGGCGAGAGGTATTTTGGCGGCATTCACTTTGTTAATTTTGCGCTTGAGTTTCCAGAAAGATCAAACTTGGATCAAGGGCCAAATCGACAAGGTGCTGGCCGATTTGCCTATACGGCTGTCATCTGGGGTATGCATCGCCAAGTGTTCGAAGAGTGCAAACATCCGTCTCAGTGGCATCCGTGGTGCCGGGTCTTTAATCTTCACAGTTTCATAGAACACGCCCGGACCTCAAATGAAGACTTACAGCCAAATGAGCTGTATGGCGAGATTGGGGGTCTCAGTGCAGGCGAGATCCAGAAGCGCATGAAGAACCAGCGGTCGCGGCTCTGCCTAGCCGAATATGAAGAGCTCAAGATTGAACAGGCATCGGGTCCGAAGGCACTGTTCCCTTCATATTATGGGACTAACTGGGCGACGGATAATATAAAGGAGGCCGGAAGGCTTTTGGAAGCCAAGGTTGCGTTGGTTGAGGGATTGGGTCGGAGGGTTTTTGAGCTGCACATCAAGCTTACAGATACAGGTACGGAGTAGTCAGAACACGGAAAACATGTTTATGGAGCAGGTAGGTTACAAAGGAGGTTTGATGGACGTTTAGTGCAGACTGGCTTCTTTAAGCACAAACTTAGGATAGTGTCATCATCAGGATAGAGAATACCAGAGGACTTGACCTAGCTGACTTGTACAGATATTCAGACGATTCAGGACAATCTCACTGTAGTGATCCTTTGTCTAAAGTCTTGTAACCCCGACGAGGCCGGCGATCGAGTTAGCCTCGACCACCAAAATCCACCAACCAACACATCCTTCCTTTCAACAGCCTCTCGGTCACGTCATCTCCAATCCAATGTCTCAGACTCCAAATCCCAACTCGTGCAATTCACAATTTCACATGCCCTTTCCCAAACTTTTCGCCCCAGACAATACAATGCAATGCAATCATTGAGTCACCCAGTAGCCATAGGGTTATCCCCCATTGCCGCCGACTCGACTGATCCTAGTTACCAAAGCTGCATTCAGCTGCATCTCCATCCAATGTCCTCGCTCTTTAGAGTCATCCTTGGCTGTATGTCACTGATTGGTTAGCGGTCAGCGAATGGCGGTTGTTTTACAGGGGTGCAGCAGCTTTCGCTTCTTTAGTGAGGGTCGCTAAGGGCTTTCTTATCTGCGGGACAGAATAACTTGAGCACTAAACGCCCGGGTTTAGGGGGGGGAGTGTGCTAGTTATACTGACGGGGGATGGTTCGACAGGGGAATTGATCGACCGGGCTGAGAAGGTCCCCGCTGCGCAAAGAGTCAATCAGAGCTGTTGCTAAGAATATCCTCGGCCTGGTCTGGTCCGGGTCATGTGTGGGTGACCTTTCTCATGATTCTCGCCATCTTCTTCACTCTTTGTTTACTGTTTCTTTTTTCCTCACATTTCCGATGGCCATGTAAATCAACCCTCCTACCTGAGAAACCCCCAACGTCACGATGGCCTTTTGGCTTTTTGGTAGCACAAAGCCCAAGAAGTCGAGCAAGAAGTCCAAGAAAGGAACAAAATCCAATAAAACGATAGCTTCATCTAAGCCCAAGATAACAGATCCTCCTAATGTCTTTCGTCCTGCGAGACCTCAGATTGAACCGCCTCCTTATCCAGGAAATGGGCGTCCGGCGTTGAGGCCTGCTCTTCCGTATAATCAGCTCCATGCCTCTCAATCACAGCCTCACTTCCAGCCCGCAGGCTATCTCCCAGCACCGCCGGGCTTCAGCACTCAACCTGTGGTGATCAACAATCACTATCACCTCGGGTCGCAGCAATCGCACCCCAACTTGTCCGCGTTTACACCAACGCATCATCTCGCGACGACAAACTCACACCAGACCCTCTCATCGTCGTTGAACCGTTTCACAGGCTCAATGGTGAATCTGGCCAAGGAATCAATTCCACCGCAACTATACGACGATGGGTTATCGGCTTGGCATGGATGTGCGCAGATTGCTCAGTCGTCGAATGCCCTGTATGATCGGTTTAACGATATCATGACGCTTATTGATCATGAGAAGGTACAGGGCAATGAGAACAAGCTCTTCAACTGTGCCGTCACGGATCAGGAGCCAAAGACGGATCAAGTCGACAAGGGCATGGGAAAGGTGAAGAATAAGGAAAAGTCCCCATGCAATGTTGCTGCGTCTGTGGTGTCGGGCAATTACTTCTCCAAAGTCGAACAGTACGCAAACTCCAAGCTTCCTGCAACACTACCACCGCTATCTCTGTATGTTTCCCCCTCTCAGCTTCAATTCTTTTCTAACAGAAGTAGGCATATGCCGACATGGCCTCTCCTTTGTCTAGCTGCTCAGTACTCCCAGCGCGTCTACGAAAGACCTCGCGGCACCGAACGAGACGCTCACGTCTCATCCGACTGGCTGGCTGGTCCAAGACAGACCTGCATCAAGTCTGTTTCCATGGACGACATGAACACCATCGTCTTCGCCATCCGCGGCACAGCAAGTTTCATGGATTGGGCCGTCAATCTCAACTCTGCACCCATCAGCCCACTTAACTTCCTCGACGATCCTGGAAACTTGTGCCACGCGGGCTTTCTCTCCGTCGCTAAGAAGATGGTACGCCCAGTAGCTGCGAGATTGAGACAGCTTCTTCAAGAGGATCCTAAGCGCTCAACGTTTAGTCTCTTGATCACGGGTCATTCGGCTGGTGGTGCTATTGCTGCGTTGCTATACTCGCACATGGTAGCCCAGACGAATGCGGCAGAGAGTGAACTCAACGTCTTGACGAATTGCTTCAAGAGAATACACTGCGTCACGTTCGGTGCACCACCTGTGTCTCTCCTCCCATTGGCAAAACCCGAAACTCACGCTCTCAGAAAGAGCATCTTCCTCAGCTTCGTCAATGAAGGAGACCCCGTTGTCCGCGCCGACAAAGCCTACGTCAAAAGTCTTCTCGACTTACTCGCTTCACCGCCGCCATCCCAACGAAAAGACCCCAAGAAATCACGCAAGAAGCCAACATGGGACGTCCCCCCGTGCACACTGAGCAATGCAGGCCGTATCGTGGTGCTACGCTCAGGGGACCTAGAAGCCAAGGCCAAAGATCGCAAGACGGTGCGAGAGCGTCTCGACGAGGGAGTTGTAGCAGTGACGTGCTCCGAGGAGAGGTTGAGAAGTGTTATTTGGGGAGACCCTGTGTGCCATCTAATGAGTTTGTATGCTGCGAGGATAGAGGTGCTAGCTGTTCGGTCTGTGACTGCGAGACGTTAGCATTGGTGGGAGTTGGAAATTTGGTTACGAAGTAATGAATCAACGGGTTTGACTTTGGCGTTACGATACCTACAGAACGAAAACAAAGATACCAGCAAAATACCCAGAATTTACAATTAAATCTATACAATTACAAGCGAAGTAGCCGAGTTAGTGCTCATATTGATTTGTTTGGGGCACGACAGAGATGATCAAATTGAATTAAATAGAGTAAAGTTTTGATTCATAATTCTATAACCACAAAGTGAAGAATGTGCTTAACACCATCAATATAAAGCTTTCCATAGCACAATATTTGTTTTCAGGGATCTCCGATCCAAGTCACTTGACCACATAAACAATCGTAACATGATCCTCAACCTTGATCTTGTAAAAGATAGGCGATCAAAAACTCCAAAGCGCCAACCTCCGGTTTCCATTTGATCCGCAGACAGAAACTTGCTCGCAAGATAGATACAACGCAAGGTCAAAGAAGCGCCGCATTGTGCGCCCATGTCATAGTAATTCCAGAGAAGAGAACAAAAAATGCATACAGGGCTTGCCAAGGCATCTAGGCCTAGACAGCGTGTTTTTAATTTTGGTGATTATCGCATCGAAAAGTCCATGTCAGACATTGACCCGATTTGCGACAAGGGGGGTTGGTTTTGCATCTGATAACTGTTCTGCCGCTGCGGTTGTTGTATACCATATATCTGATTTATTGTTGGGTTCATAGTTGAACTGTTGACATTCTGGTTCTGTATACCCTGTAAGGGTGGTTGACTTCCAACACGTTGTTGATGTTGAATGTTGCTCAATGAATTGGACTGAGACGCTGTGAATGAATTCATGCCCATTTCAGACATGTCAAACCCGCCCATGCCCACGTTACCGACATTGTAATCGATGCCAGGGGACATAACATTAGCAGGTGAGCCGACAAATGCCGAGGCGATGTCACTACCTGGCTGCGTACCAGGGGGCGTACCATTCGAGTAACTGGAGTTGGGGATGGTGTCAGGACTACTGCCACTCAAATCGTACTTGGTCTCGTTCTCATCGACGACCATGCCTTGGTTGTAATCGTTCATTTGTGGCATGATGGCCATGCCGGCGTTGCCAAAGCCGTCGAAAATATCAGCAGACATACCGAAAGAGGCGTTCTCTGGGACGTTTCGCAGCTTTGGGTCGGCCAGGCGTGGAAGAATCTCGTTGACCTTGGCTAACAAAAGAGGAGTGAATGCAAAGTCACCATTTCGGGTAGGGTCGAGAGAGGCGAGGAGATCCTGGAGCCACTGGTGAGGGCCCACAACCAACGGATGTCGATCCGGGGCCACGTTAGCCAAGTACGTAGTCAAGTTGAGACAGATCTCGAGTAGCTTGGGGAACTGTGAAATTGTCAGACGCGTGTTGTTCGAACATGGCATATAATACATACCAAGCAGGACTTTGCAAGCTCAAGTGGCTGGCCGGCAAAGGAAGAAGCCATCTTGCTGGTCATTTGCCGTGTCAGATCGCTGTGGTATTGATTTTGGGAGTTGTTAAGCTGCCAAATTGTATTGTTGAGGAATTGTTGACTGGCCATGTAGGCAGTTTCGGGATGGAAGGGGTTAGTGGCTTGCCACTCCTTGAGATGATTCTTGAGACCAGTAATTTGATGGCAGTCGAGATGGTCGCAGCCCTTTCTCCAAGCGGCCAGGAAAGAGTCGTCCATAGGTCGGAAAATGTTGCACATGATGAAAAAGGCCTGGAGCTCGGGATACAAGGCATCATTAGGGTCGTCGTGCATCTGGCTAGGTGCGATTGTCGCATAAAGAGACAAGGGTCGACGGCGGTCGAAAAAGTAGACGCGCTCGGAGGCGAACAAGAACCAGAAAAACCGACGTCTTCGGACAGCCTCAGTTGGAGGGAACTGGGCATAGTTTTCCTCCTTGTCCATGTTTGCAAGGAGGGCCATAGTTGTGGCCTCTCGAAGGTAGTACCACGCTCGGTCTGTTCCGTCCATGATCTTGAAGCAGGAGTAGAGGAAAATGTTTGTGAGCATAGCGTTGAAGTTTGGTGTCTCGAAGTAATCGGAGCCCTTTCGAACACGTAGGCACTCCTCAAGAAGCAAATTGGCTGCGGCGATGTTGGCGCCGGGATGGGTCTGAATGTTGAAGGCCTCTTCTGGCGAGGAAGCTGGAAGGACCATACCAGGCTGAAGTACTACATATGCGCAGAGAGCTGCAAACAGACAGTACCGGTCACGGCCACTTTCCATATTTAGCATCATGTGTTCGATTTGGTTTCGGTCAAGGAAAGGCAGTAACGAGTAAGTATTTTCGAAGTAGAAGTTGACACAGGCCTTGATCAAGTCGTTGGACAACATGCCAGCTGTAGGGTTGAGAGCAGGAATGGTTAGGTCAACGGGTTGTCCAGCGAGTCTGTTTTGCACCTTAGCAGCTAGACTGGCCTGGCGTTGGTTGTCTCTCAATTCGGTGATAACTTTTGCGCGAGAACCCTTAGGACCTTTCTTCTGAGGAATGGCGAGATATGTGCATTCGATGCCAGCAGTTGAACAGTTGCGACAAGTGATACCACTATCACACTTGACCTTGCGACGATGGCAGCCATCGCAGGCCCTCTTTACGGCGGTTGTCATTGCTGGTTTTGGTGCCGTTGACATAATGAGTTTCCTTGTCAGTATCAAAGAAAGTTATCAACGGCCGGGGCGGGTCGTCGGAATAGGCGACGACAGGAATGATTGACTTCCAGAGACGATGATACCAGGGAAGCACGATAAGCTCGAGGGTCGTTTAGACCAGAGAGTCGAGCTCGGGGGTATTTAGATTATGATATCGCGGGGGAGACGAAATGTCAAGCAGCCAGCAAGCCAAAAGTCTGGGGATTTTGCGGGGGACCGCGATAAGAGGTGTCGTCTCGAAGGTATATTCGGGGCGGCTTGGTAGTCGGTCGACCGGGAGGGCGGGGAGAATGGGAGATTGGAAGGGCTGGCTTGATTCCAGGAGACGAGGTGCAGGTGTTATTCGGCCCTTTCGCCTTGGACCATAATGCGGGGGGGTTGTTCGGGGTGACCAGGAGTCAAATTGCAGAAAACTTCGATGTTGGACAGGTTGATTAAGGGGTCGTAGATCTGCGGTATACAGAATTCGTTTGGTGTTTTTTGGCTGGTTGTATGTATGTATGAAGAGGAAAAGGGAAAGTGTGGATAGAAGAGAGAGATCAGGTCAGGGAAGGGAAGGGATGGGAAGACGAGAAGAGAAGATGAGGTGAGAAGCGGGTTTGGACAAGAGAAGGAGATTTCGAGGGAAGACCGGGGGTGGGCTAGCAAGCAAACCAATCCAAACCGTAGAGAGAGACGGAAGGCTTTCTGACGCTGGGGTGGGACGCGAGGAACACAGGAGAAGGATGAATAAAGTACTTTGCCACCGAAACCTTGCTGGAGAGTGACCTTGAGGTCCAGTTTTTACTCGTACCACCCGTCTTGAAGAGGCCAAGGAACAAGCAGCCAACCGAACCGGCGAACGGGCGAGGGATCTGAAAGGGGACTAGGCCAACAGAGAAATTAGCAGGCATGGACAGTGCAGTAGACCAAAGAATACATACCCGATGGACAGTGCAACTTGGTTTAGCGACCTGTAGTTTGAACGGGGGTGGAGACGGCCCAGGCTTGGAGCATTGAGTTCAACAAGGTTGGCCGAGAGCGTTACTTGCAGGCAAATCTTGAGAAGAAACTGGCCGACTGAACGTCAGTATTAATAGTAGAGTGAGGGAATGGCTGACTTCAACCTCTCAGTATGCATTGAGCTATGGCTTGCAACAAGTTCGTTGAAGTGAGGGGAAATCCATCAACAACGATACTGACAAAGTTCCTGGAGGCAGCCTCCTTCTCGTAGCCACCTACATAAACACTGTGCCACGTCGACATCTGTTTGGACCACGCTAAAGCCTCAGCTTCACAGTGCGACTCCACTCCCAGAATGAGTGAGATCTTCCTCTGTTGGCGAACTGTCTGCAGAGACAGGTCGACTCGCCCTCAAGAGGAGGTGAAGCCTAACAGGAAACACCTCGATCGACGATTGGGTACCTTCTCCTGCACCAAGAATTCGCGCATTCAACAGGTTCTCTTCTTGTACGTCGGTCCGACGATGTTATCGAACATCACGCGTTGGAACGTTCACGTTAATCGGCTTGCTCCGATCACGTTCCCGGGGCAAAACCATTACGGCTCTTCGCTTAGAAAAGTAAGAAGACGTAGAGGAAAAAGTCAATTCTAGGGCTATCACAACGAATAAAAAACTCCGCTGCCAGATCTCCCTGTTCATGTCAGATCATCCGTTGTTTGCTCATCGGGCGCAGCAGCGCATTTCGCGTTTAGAAACCCATCGAGCCCCGAAAATAACTCTCTAACGTTATGCCCCCGGTGTGACAAGTGTCTCCCTGCGATGATCGAAATACTGCATCAACTCGTCATCGTCAATAGTGACTGCTTTGGGCATAAACGCCGCTTGCTTGGATTCCCATCTCCGTGATTGTACATGTTCCCAACGCTGGCCTCCCCGAATAGAGAAGTAGCCCGACCAGGTTCGCTTTTACATATGCTTCCGCATATTCGGAACTGGAAGTCTTGTCTCATCTGTATGCATTCCCCATGTAACGAATGCACGCCCCGCTGTTCAGTCAGGGATGAGAACAAGAGTTACAAGACTTTGTTGATCTCCACAAATTGCTTCCATGGAAGGGATCGTGATGATTCAGGACACGGAAGAATGTCTTTCTGGGAGAGGTGCCACTTTGAGCCTCATGATCTCATGGTATCTCGTATGAGTTCTGCAGAAGGGTCCATTGATATTGGATCGTTTATCGATGTTGACCTGTAACTGGGAGTTAGATACCATGCCAAATCATGTTGTGTTCCACTTTACGACGCAGCGTATAAAAATCCATGTTGCGCATCTCGAAGCATTGACTTTACACCCATGCATGATACGATCCAAACTCGTCATGAATCACGTTGCTTCTTGCAATGTAACAAAAGAAATCTATTATAACGGTGTTCAAATCTATACTATGTACAAGTTTTACCGCTTTCTTCCCACGTCGACCTGAAGATCGTACCAGTCCCACTCGCTTCAAAACACTGGCTCAATTAGCTCTCGATGGCCATATCAATCCCGAATCCGTCCCGCTCCTACTCCGTAATTCACTTCTCCATATATCCCTCGATGGGTATGCTTAGGACGGACAGGTGAGAGTGAGTACCGTCCGTCTCTCTCCTCTCTGCCCACGGGCTGGCTCTCCAGCGCATATCCATCCTGGCTGACGATTCGCTTCCTGTCCTTATCATGGTTGATCACACGGCTGGGGTGGAACACATTGAGGGAAACCACAACGAGAGTCATAAGGGTAGCGTCGAAGATGTAGATGAAGTACTCCTTCGATTGGAGCTCACTGTCCTTGCCCATTACGTACTCGGCGACACGGAAGACGGATCGGACCATGATGAAAAGACTGGCCGTGTAAAGTACGTAGAGGAGCTTCCTCCAAGGCGTTGTGATCTCTTGCGACTTTTGTGTGGGGTTGCGGTTGATGCGGAGGTGGAAGACGAGAGTGACGATCATGAAGAAGCCGAAGAAAATGATCTGAATGCCTAGGCCGCCGACGATGATGTTCTCGCCTCGCTTGACGGCGCTCTTGGTTTTCGCTGTTGCGAGCATACCACCACCTTTGACTGTTAGTACCTAATGTGAAGGTCAACGGAAGGCTTCGGGGTACGTACCAGCACTCTGTGCAAGGAAGGACATGACATCTCCAGCAACAAAGACCAGGGTCAACCATCTAGGGCTAATGATTGAAAGGTCGTTGGCATCGAGAAGACGAATGAGGCGGCCGAGTACCATGTAAATCGAGGCGGCGAGGAGGGCTGGAGCGAGCAGCAAGAGGAGAGACTGGATGATGTAGGGGTTCTTGGTGAAGTCCGGTGCTTCTTGTGATGAGAGAGCTCGACCTACGTAGCCTATACACTCAACTGAAGACACTGTTAGTAAAGCAGCGATAGCTGGAAATTGGCGGCCGGCCACGTACAAAGACATCCGACTAAGAACGGAATAAAGTACCATGTTCGCGCTCGAATAAGCTGATATGTGTGCATTAATGCAGAAAGACCGAAGATCGCAATAAAGATGACAGCTGCCACCATATTGGGGTTATAGTTGTAGAAGATGTATCCCGCCATGATGAATTATTCTCGGGTGTCGACTGATTGAAGCTCTCAATCACGTTAGTGAGGTCAAGTCTTGGTGTTTCGTCGTTAGAAGTCAAACAGATGAGTGTCAAAGTCAATGAGTTGAGAGTATAAAATTGAGAAGGTCTTGACTTTCTTGAACAGACTATATACATATCTTTGCGTGTAAACAACATCCGCCAAACTGACGCTTTCTGCGAATGCATCTAAAATTGTTCACACTCTATACGCGGAGGAGAGCTATACGTGAAGAATCTAGATCTGAGTAGCGTAGATCTCGAGAGTGTGGGGCTGGATATACGCGTATATGGTAGATCACCTCAACGACAGTGACAATTATAACCAAAAGCTAAGCGCTAAGCCTTACAGTTTCTTTTTAACGCGTGGATATGCTTTGATGTCGGTTTCGGAAGATATTCAGATTGGAGATGCTTCTCTAGTGCGAGTCGTTGTTCAAGGGGCTGAGTGAGCCATGTGGTATTTTAGTCTACCGTTCGGCATGAAAACTGCCGAAGAGAAGACGCTTTGAGTGTTAGTAGAAAACTGTTTTGAAGTGTAATTGATGCATAACGTCTAGCTTACAGGTCACGGGGAGATTGACCAAAGATGGTGAGTCTATCAGACGTTGCTGGCCTTTGTTGCCTCGATCGAGCTGCAACTACAGCAGCCAGAGCAGTCTCTTCAATGGCTTGCTATTGACTTCATGGGCAAGCATGATCATCCACGGAGTAAATCAAGAATGAGACATATGTAAAAACTGCACGCACAGACAATAACCCTTCAAGCTGCTAGACATTGACTTTCACGCTATGGGTATGCTTCCTTTTTCGCGTCGATCCGAAAGCGAGACAGTTTTCTTATCGATAATCACCATCTTCATTCTCAATGCCCCTGGCGACCATCGACTCAACTCTTCACTTTTACCCTGCCAAGAACTCCGCGTAACACAAGATCTAGTGCATTAGAGTTTGCGGCGCAGCTGTCATCTCGCTTGAAACAAGAGCACCTCTGCGGCCGTGTCACGTATCAGCTCAACCTCACATCCGGGGTAACAAAGCTTGCGCGTTGTAGGGCGCACAAGCTCGTCTGTGCCTTTCTTTTTGTGTCCCTATGCATTGAGGCGGAGCTGTTTCTGAAAGGAGGCGCTCCCAGTTGAGGATTATGCTCCAGCCGCATCATGCGTTGTTAAGTTTGCAGTGAGGGTTTGGCGAAGTCAACTTCAAAGGCATGACTTCAGAGTTCAAAGAGGGGAAACCCGTTCTTTGATCGCAAACTACCTAGGTATGGGAATATCTGCTCCCCTCGATTATGACATGATATGTGGTTCATGGCTTTCCCGATGCTCGCTTAATTGGCGACAGATTGGTTGAGTTTGTTCTACTGAACTTCCTTCCTGGTGCCACGTCGCTCAGTTGAAGCTCAAGAATCAGATCATCCAGGTTCTGTGATCAGAGTGACGGTATGTCAACAACGATTGTTCTTTCACGGAGCAAGTGTACGACCACTCCGTGCTATTCACAGCAAGATAATTCGAAAGGCATTCAACTTGATTCCATCGAGGGTTACCCTTCATGGTAATTCGTGACAGGAGTTATTTCCAGTCGTGTTTCCGTAGACGGTGTCAAATACCGAGGCATGCCGATGGTGTCCGGACGGTGTGCTCCCGCAACGCGGTGCGATGCTCCGGGTCGGTCAGCACAGCAAAGCAAACACAGTGTGGCATGTCAACCAATAACCCTCTGCCTAGGTCAGTGTCTCGCGCACTGTATACATTGATCAAAACTGCAAGGTCTGTGGCCTCATCGTGCAGTAGCTGCCGGACAGGCCGTGCCTAGCGGCTTTCTCGAAGGAACTTGGAACGCTCGTCGTGTGCTTTTCAGTGGATTTGCATGAATCGCGGTGGTTCCGCTACTAAAGCACAAACGTCGATCCAAGTCCCCTGTTTTTTCTGCTTTCAATTTTGTCGTGAAATAAATCATTCAGTCGGTCCTGAAACCTGAAATGAACAGTTAATTGCTCAATTTCCAAGACAGCGCATCTACCACCCCCATCAGGTCTTTAGACTTAACTGAACCTGGAGAAACACGGTTCGGGCTAAGGCACAGGGAACCCCAGACTAGGCCTGAAAGAGCCTCGTGTGCACAAGGTCGGTCCGAAAGGGCCAGCTTGGTCTGGATGGTGGGCGAGGCTGAGAAGAGGCTTTGGCGTTTGGGGGAGGTGATTGGCTGGCTGTCCTTGGTAACGAATTGTGTTGCGGCTTGGCGTTTTTGGTGGATGTTGTCCTCGTCCTTGTCCTTGTTGAGCGGTGACGCAGCCACGAAATTGCCGTATTTGAATGAACACGACGTCGGATGCTCAGCCATAATCTGCCTATTTCTCGTATGTCAGATCATCAACAGTGACTCTGCAATGCGAGGTTGGCTTCGTTCTGGGGACAGTTGCAGTCTGTCATGTGTCAAAGTTCCGTCCCACTGGCACGGCGATGCAACGTCGCATTAATGCTACACAATTGTCAGGTGTTTTGTTGAGCAGCCAGCATTCTTAGTCAGCTGGTCAGCCACCTACCCTAAACACACTCGTGATATTGTATCAGCATTCAATTTGCATTTCCTGCTATCGGCCTCGTATCATCCATTGCGAGACTCAGTTCTTACGACAAGATTGGCCAGCTTTTCTTATCAACATGAATCTGGCTCACCGACATAACTTGGAGTGTTCTTGCGTATTGCGGCTTTCACCGTCGGTTATTCCCATTGTATGAGAAAACAATCAAACATTCCACGAGTAATAACAACAGAGCCCAAACATCATTTGTCGATCAGTGGAGTTGATTTCCCCCGCTTAAGGCTCATTGTTCTCCATAGCAGTCTAGACTCGCGATGATATGATGCTCCAATCCTTCCCTAGAGACCATCGGACCTCGCCAAGAGCAGCAAAGGTTTTCCTTTCGAAGGATTCAAAGGGCCCCATAGAACCAAACTATTGGAGCCAGTGAAAATTCTTGAAGACGGGAACTGCAGTCATGTAAGAGAGTGTCTAGGGTAATTTGATCAAGAAGGCTGATGGAACGCCTCTCTTCACATGCAACTCAGGATAACCGAATCTGGCGCGATGCTTTACGAATTCCTACTAGCTTGATAGAAGAGGCTTCGTATCATTGTACGAACACTTGCCATTTTCAGCCATTCCATTGCAAACTGGCCAGTTATCGATGAGCGGCGCAGGATCGACGTCCACGGTTCCACAACTGCCGCTCGACTACCAGACTTTCTTCCGACCTCCTGTCTCCAAATATACCGCTGTATGCTTGTCAATGGCGTCGGTACTTGCCGAGAGCTGGAGACGAACAATGGTGATATCACGACCTCGTATAGGCCCAGCCTCACCGTTTGGCTGTTGAGTCTAGGGGATGGCTTTGTAGCGTTCATATCCAGCCACTTCCTCCCCAGTGCTCGAGGCTTGATGTTGTACGATTAAGGTTCCATTTAAGGTAGGAGGAGGCTTGCTTCATAGACGGGAATAATACGAGAATGCTCAAATGGAGTGGTCGAAACTTCCCGGTGGCCTGACTTGCCTCGTCATAGGGCTGAACTGACTGCAAGCCATGTGCATATCAAACAGGTTGGGGAAGTTATACGGCTGCCTAGATTAGCATAACAACACTGAACTCTACTCTGAACGTTGATTCGAGGCTTCAGATGGCGTGCATGCGTATCTAGTTCTAACACGAGAGCAAAAGGCCACACTGGAAAGTCCCTCCAAGCGATAGTCAACGGTAGCTGGCCATCAGATGCGATACGAGCATTAGAAATCACTCACCAGTAATGATGATGAGCGTGATACGAGTAAAGTTGACTTTGAGAATCACGAAGGTCTCCTGAATGGCCATGGCATGCGAAATTAGCTACAAGCAATTCGTGAAGCGCTGTGCTCTCACTCGTCGAGTCTACGTCTCTGAAGAAACAATGTCCAAGTGACACTGTGTATAGCAAGTGGTGTTTAGATACTGATGTATCATGATAAAGACATTCGATAAGCATATTCGCGATAACGACAACACTCAGACCTTGGGCAATCATGACACTCGATGACACTCCTCAATCTTCAAGCATATTATCATAAATGAAGAAACAATAGACTTGAAATGATAGTATATGATAGTAGAAATAAAATTGGACATTATAAATTTCGAGAAAAGGCGATGTTCTACGAGGATTAAAGTGGCATCTGTTCCTAAGCTGACGCCAACCCCGGGACGGGGATGACAAAGGCCACCAAGAAACAAAAAGAAAGTAGCAATCTCATTAAGTTAATAAGATGTTTCATATTTTGACAATTGCAATAAACGGTGCTAAATGTCTCTGATGCAAGTCCCTATGCCAGAATACTATGTGTCGATGACACCCCTATTAGGATACAGGCAATGTCAGCCGCCCCCTACTACGATCCGATTTCAATACTGCGAACGAAGCAGATAGAGGTATTATATTAGTAAGGGAGGCATAGGGTTCCATTTTTCTTCACAGGTATCAGCCGGATGAAAGCTGGGTTGAACGACAAGGACAAGGCAGCATGAGACACTACGATACTGTCGAGGGGGAAAGAGAGATCAGGCCAACTCACGAATAGGAACTGTTCCATAAGTCTCAGACCTCCTAATTCCCGTTTAGATCCGGTGATCAGGTGTGATGAGAATTGTTGATGCTACTTCAAACTTGCAGAGACCCCTAGAAAGTTCCCCAGAACCATCAGCCGTGGCGCTCAATCTCAACAGACATGTCACATTTCTCTTCACCGTGCATTATTCAGTGTGGTATAGAGTGTCATGCAGGTAAGACATGGAGTTCCGGCATCTGTTTCGGACGGGAATCTCAGATTTCGGAGGTCATCCCGACGGGTGCGAGTAATAGCTTCTAGGACTTCAGACGAGGGATGGGAGATCAGACTATTTACCGAGAAGAAAATAGGTGAGCTATGGAACTGACAAGCCTCGCAGAAACTTGAATGGAGTCTAAGAAGCTGATGTGCGCCCTGTGGGCGAACCTATGTCGAACTTGGTCAGGATCTTGCGGAGATCTGGCAGCAATATGCCGATTATGATCTGTCTCATGCATAATTCAGGCTGCTGATTGCAGGTTTAAGAACGGAAAGATCTAGCGGCTTTCCAGAATATTCTTCCCGTAGATTGACACTGGCCTTTGAAGGTTGGGCCTTGATGGTCTTCAACATCATGAATCAACCGCTTTCCTTACCACCACCTCCTCTGTGTTCCCGCATCAAATCCTTACTGAAAAGCTTGAACACTAACCCTAACTACCCCTTCTTTTCTGAGCATTCGTAAACGAGTTAAGTGGCGGTGTGCACCGAAGACCTGGTCTTCAGGCAACTTGTACCGACATCAACGTTGCACTCCCAACCATGGAACCATTCCAAGCTACCATGGAAGAACCTCAATACTGCCGTCGGTCAGATCAATATGTCGCAAACTCCGTTTGGAGAACAGTCCAAGTGGTGCAAACCGTTCGATCAAGTTACACTGCAGTCACACCAGATGCCGTTACCCCTATTCGTACAACACCCAACCGCCTCAGCAGTACCACAGAACCAGCAGGGGGCATAATTGGTTGGTCTACGAATATACCACCGCAGTTTTGACAGAACCTGCAGTGATATGTCTGCATATTAGCAGCACCCGTGTGAAGAGACGGCAAACATGCCATGCTCAACGTTTGATAAGAACTCCAAGTCTTGAGTGCCCCCCGAGCCCGGCATAGCGATGCTGTGTAAGGGGATTATATCTCTACTTAAGGAGCCCTGCGGCTTGCTAGGGGGTTGCAATGTCTCTTGATGAGGATACGGCGGATATACTCTGAATAACTGAACCTGATTCACTCTTTACAGTGGCTTTTACTGCACCATGGGTATGCTTCGCCTCTTTTTTGTTATCCTGGTCGCAGGGGCCTATGTTGCTGTGGCCCAGCAGCAGCCTTTTCATGCTTCTAGAAATGCTGTTTTGTCGGTGGACATACTTCCCTCACTTCCAGAGTCTTTCAATCCTATCCCAACCACGGTTGTGACTGTGGACTGTCTTTTCTGTTCTTCTACGGACGATGGGGAGGTCTCGTCTTCCACTTGGGTGGACACTACGATATATACACAGATATTCAGCATTGGGACCGAGTTCCCCGAGCCGTCTGAACCGTCTGAACCGTCAGGTGTTGTGTCTGCAGAGGCATCTGGGACGGTAATCTGTGCGCCACATTGTCAAACCTTTGTGACTGTTCCTTGGTATGATGCATTTTATCTTCGATTTAGAAGCTATGCTAACCATAGATAGGAAGAGTGGTGAATCGAAGGTTGCCCCTCTAACTCCCGTCCCAGTGGCAACCTCATGCATCACGATATTCAACACCCCTATTCCCATTCCCCTTCCCACAACAGATATGTGGACTCCAGTTGTACCTTCAGCTTCTGTATCAACATCGACGTCGTGCTCAACTACTGAGACGGACATGTCACCTTGGACGTGGCATATGCCTGGGTCTTCCCTATCGACCGAGCTAGCTTCGAGTGGGCTGGGAATACCTCCATGGACATCAGCAGCAACTGAGCAGGCGACGGTTATTTCTGAATCGACGTCGGGTGCTACAGTAGTCTTACCCAGTGGCACAGAGATAACACCAACGTGGTCATTTGTATCTGTTCAGACATCTCCAGCTACGGAAGTGTCAGCGTCGACATGGACATCAACGTCAACGCTGACTGAAGAGGTTCCTGTCTCAGAAGCATGTACTACAGAGATCACGGTTACAATGACCAAGACCTTCTACGAGACATGGGAGTCCAAGACACTTCAGATAGCCACGTTATCTCGTACGATATCAACCACCATCGAAACAGTGATTGTGGAAGCGTATTCTACGTCGACAGGAGAGGTTGTGGTCGAAGGCACGAAGACGGAGTTAACAACCGTCGAGGCTGTCAGTTCGGGTGTAGACTGTTCGGAGGCTGGAAAGTGTTGTGCTGCTTGTTCAGCTACAGCTGAGTCTATCGGGGTTGAGACGACGAGTTCAACTCTCGTGGGAACATACACGACTGTCGAGGAATATGTGTCTTCTGCCGGGGGCTCTTGGGTGCCAGCCGAGTCTCCTTCTGGGACTGCAGTCGTCCCTAGCACGGAGGGCTCAACTCCCACAACTTCAGAGACACTTACAGAGACAACAACCGTATCTGGATCGTATGCTGAGTCGGAGACAGCCGGTCCAACGTCTGTTCAGACTGCGGGAGCCGCCCATGTGACGGCAGCTGTGGGAATAGGGGCTATCTTCGGTCTAATGGGTTTGTTGGCTTGATTCCGTCAAGC